AATTATCAAGGAAAAACAAATCAAAACCACAAGTTAACATACCCTCTAGGATGGCTAAAATCAAAAAAGAGAGGTAATACATGTAGGTGAAGGCATAGAGAACTTGGAATTTTACACACTAATGGTAGGAATGAAAAACCACTTTGGAAAATAATTTGAGTTTCTAAAAAAGCTAAACATATAAATTATGACCAAGGCAGTCCATATCAAAGTATTTCCCTGAAAGAAAGTCCATACAAAGATCTGCACACCAGGCTCACAGCACTGAATTTGTAATAGTGAAAACCTGGAAACCATCCAAACACTAATAGATGAATGGACAGGCCAACCCCGAGGTATCCCCAGGATGGAATACTATTCGGCAGTGAAAGGAACTACCGATACATGGGAAAACAAAGACGAATCTCAAATTATTACACTGAATTAAAGAAGCCTGACAAAAAAGAATGCACACTACGATTCCATTTACATAAAAATCTTGGAAAATATAAATTAATCTATGATGACAGAGAGCAGACCAGTGGTAGCCTAGGAGCGGGAGAGGGCATTAGAAAATTTGGGATACTGAATATGTTCAGTATTTTGACTGTGGGATGGTTTCACAGGTGTGTATTTTAAAACGTACTGACTTGTATATGTTAAATATGCAGTTTATTGCATGTCAGTTATAGCTCACTGGAGCTAAACTAATGAAGTAAAACTCAGCTCCTTCCCTATACCAGCCACATTTCAAGCATTCAATGTGCACTAGCTCATGTAGCTAGTGGCTACTGAATTGGACAGTGGCAGATAAAAACAGTTCCTTCCTTGGAGAATGTTCGCCAACAACCCCACTCTAAATCAGGGATCGGCAAATGTACCCCACAGACCCAGTGCCTGTTTTCTAAATAGACTTTTATGGGAAAACAGCTAAGCCCAGTGTTTACATGTTGTCTGAGGCTGCTTTAGTGGCACTGTGGCTGAGTGGACCCCTGAACTACCTACCACCTGGCCTTTTACGAAAGGAACTGTTGGCCCTGCTTTAAAGCACAAGTTCTAAGGACAGAGGCCACATCTGTCCTAATGACCAATGTACATAATTCAACTAGTACTTACTGAGCACCCAATATATAGTGGTGTTCTAGGCACTGGGGAGACATTCTTGAACAATACAGGTAAGGTTCCCACTCTAAAAGTTTCCAGTCTGGTGGGGGTTCAGGTAACATGATAAGCAAATAAATCAGAGAATGCCAGGCCAGGATGCATGCTAAAATGACTATAAAATGGCACAGAGCATGGCTGGGGCGCACTTAGGTAGTCAGGAGAGGTCTCTGGGAGGGCCTGAGATCTGAGCAACCTGAGTCAACATTGCAAAGACTGGGGCAGAAGCAAAGGGAATAGCAATGCAAAGTCCTCGAAACAGGAATGAAAATGAGTTGATGTGTGAAAACAAAAGCCCACGTGGCTGGAGAAACAGACAGGGGGAGAAGGTAGATGAGGCCAGAGTAGTGCAGACAGCTACAAGAGGGGGTCTGAATTTCATCCTACATATGATGGAAAACCAATGCAGGATTATAAGTACATAAGCAACGGGGCCAATTTACATTGTTGAACATACTCCGGTGCTTATAAACAGTGACCAGGTCAGGCAAGGGTGAGGAAGGTGTCAGAGAGACAAGTTAGGGGGTTTTTGCAAAGGTGCAATTGAGAGATGGTAGAGGCTTGGCTTGGGCTATAGAGGCAGACAAGAAGATGAAGTGGAGAATATAAGATAAGTTCTGGAGCGACTGTCCACTGGCCTTTGAGATGGGTGGGTTGTGTGAGGGCATGAGAAGAAAGGAAAAGGAATGCTAGGTTTTTGGTTGGGACATGATGGTAGGACTTTCTGAGATGAGGGAAACTCAAAAACTGGAAGGCCTTCTACCTAGTCACTCCATTTCACATGTAAGTTCCCCAAATTTGTTCTTCCTTGAGAAGGTAGTTACTGTTACTTCCACTTTACAAATAGGACACTGAAGATGTTACGTAGCTTACCTCAGTCAGAAAGCTAGTGTGAGCACAGTGGAGAGTCAGACTTTGGTTATCAGACTCACAGCGTCACACTGTGCAAAACTGTCTCCTTGAAGTAGTTCCCAAGAATGTGAACTACATTCTAGGCAATGCCAATACCACTGGAATAACAGATTCACAGAATGATTAGCAACTAAGATGCTATCATGCCTGCTCTTTTAAGTTCTGCTATTTAAGATCACCTTGATTTTCATAAAGAAAGATGTATTTTTTAGAGGAAAGGACATTATTGCCATCTCTATATTTTTCAAAGCACTTTCTCTAGAATTCTCTCTTTGATTCCGTTGTACAAACGAGGAAACTAAAACAAGTCATTTTCTCAAGATCACTAAGAGACCTAGAACTAAAAGACAAGTAAACTCATTGCAAGTAGTCTGGCCAATAAACTCATCTTTAATGTGTAATAAAATGTGTAAGCAACACCTTTTACACCACTACCCAAAATACACAGATCTATGAAGCAGAGATAAAGAAGTTATACAAAACAGAGCTTACCCTAGTGTGCTAATGTTTTCCTTTCTGATTTCATTTTGTAAAATGCTAATTACAGGTGGCAACTTAAACATGGCTCCAAACCTTACTAATGAACATTAAAACCACAGAGCAGACATTCAAATGAATGTTAAGTTCTCTAAGTCTCTAAGTTCTCTAAGTCTCTAAGTTCATTAAGTCTCTAAACACCAACAAAAACAAGATGAAATATAAACAAAGCTCTGATGAATATTTGGGGTACCTGTGGTCCATTTGCATATAAAAGGCCATGATTCTATGAGCTACACTTTGGAACTATCTTTTTATTTGTATTACTTTCTATTGCTAATATGGAGTCTGTAATGAAACAGAATGCCTACTAACATCTCCAATAAGCAGAGATGTACTTTTCTGAAAAGAAAGCAAAGAAAAGCAAAATAAAGCTGGTCTTCAACCTCACCCACCCCAAACAGAGTAAAAAGCTGTGGAAAGGACTTCCTTTTCAAAAAGGAAAAGACTGGGTTGGTCATGTGGCAATTACTATGGTTGATAATTGAAGGAGAACATCTTTTTTTTTTTCCCCCCACACACTTCATTTGTCCTTCTTAAGGGTCTCGGGTCTTTATCTTTTTGTTTTAAAATAAAATTTTATTGCAGTGACACTGTATGATACTATTATATAAGTTTCAGGCGTGCATCACTATAACATGAGCACATGCTACATCACAAGGTTGCCCCCTTGCACCCCATGTCCCTGCACTTCCCTCTGGTAACCACTGATTTGTCAGGGCAGCCTCTTAAGGACAATGGCTGTGATGAGCAGAAAACCAGGGAAAAGCCACCACAACCTTTCATTTACTGGACCAGCACCAGCTGATAAATGATGGAGTTCCTCTGATGCCTTCTCCCTGCGCCAGCACACTTAATTACCCTTAATAAAACAGGAAGACGAACGGCTCAGGAAAACACACCTTGGATTTTTCCCAATTCCTTAAGTTTACAAGTCTCTTCAAACATGTTTTAAAATCTATGTCAATTACTGAACATTCCTTTATCTTCCTGAATATAGTGCTAACCCGGTCAACACACGTAAACACACACACACACACACACACCCCACAAAACCCCTGCATTTCTGAAGGGGAGAAGCGACAAGGACAAACTGCAGCCCCCATACATCAAAGGGCGAGCTGGCACTGCCAGCCACACACCATCAAGTCCATGGGCACTGCCAGAGGGTGGGTGACGCGACTCGGTCAAGGTCCTTGGGAGCGCACAGACACTTCTGTACCAATGCACCAATTTCCTCTCCTTTCAACTGACCTCTAGCCAGCCCAGGCCCCTGGTGGGAAGGTTCTGGAAAAGCAGAAAGGTCCAAACCCACGGAAGCCCTCAGTCTCTAGTAATAGAAACTGCAGTAGCTCAGGAAATTTCTTCAGGCAGCGCTAATGACCTCGAATCCCAATTTGTTTCCAGAGCAGGTGAAGGGCATCACCACTAAATGGAATATCAGAGGGGGGGTGGGAGGGGAGCAGCCCAGGCTGCAAGCGCCCGAATTGATTCTGCCAGGAGCAAGCAGGGGGGCGGCAGCTCGCGGCCACGTGCGCTTGCTGGGGTGGGGGGGACCCTCCCAAGCAACCCGACCCCAGGCGCCCGCGCGCCGCTCGGCGGCCCTGGCCGCCCCGTGGAACGCCACAAGTTGCTGCCCGCAGCGCCTCCCGCCTTTGACAGCGCCCCAGGACGCCGCCCCCGCGCCCACGCCCACACCCCGACCTCTCCCTGCCCAGCGCCCCGGACCTGCGCGGGGCGCAGGCCCCTCCCGACCCTCCACCGCAGCCCACCGACCCCACCCAGCTCGCTCCGAGTCGAACCAAACCTCCATGTCCCCGTGGGGTGACCGTTAGCCTCCGAGCACCCCTCCAAGCCGGGCCAACCCTCTCCGAGAGCCGGCCGCGCTCGGGGGCCGCCGACCCCCCACTTCTTGTCCCCCAGCAAACGCGCGGAGCAGCCGCCGGCAGGTGAGGGGGGAGCGGCCGCCCACCTTCGTGGGCGCAGGAGCCGCGCCCCGGCGGCCGCCGCCGGCCCGGGCGACCCCGGGGTGCCCTGTCCAGGCGCGGGGGCCCGGCCACCCGGGGGGCCAGGGCCGAGCGCCCGCGGCGGCCGGGAGAGGCGCCGCCCGGGTGCGGCCGCGCGGTGGGACGGAGCGGGGAGCCGGGCCGCAGGCTGCGGGTTTGCTCCCGGGCGCTGGAGACGCCGGCGCGGCGAACCCGCGGGGTGCAGGGGCGCCTGGAGGCGCGGCGCCGCCCGGCGGGAGGGCGAAGGACGCGGGGAGAGTCCTGGGGCGCCCCGCGGGCCGCGAGCCGCGAGCGTTACCTCCCCGGGGCGGCCGGCTGGCGCGCCGCGGCGGCGGGCACGGGGGGCGCGCGCGGGGCGCGGGGCGGGGGGGGCGGCGGGCGCGGGGCCCGGCTGGGCGTCCTCACCTTCTTGGTGCCGGCGCCTCCCGCGATCCGAGACACTCCGGTCAGCGAAGAGGAGCGCGCCGGCTGCCCCCCTAGGGTCTCCTGCTGGGGGGACATCGCTTCCATGAAGGAGGCTGGGCCGCCGGTCCCCGCCGGGAGGGGGCTGCGGGCCGGTCGGCGGGGCGAGGGCGCGCGGGGCGCAGGCGGCCGCCGCGCTCAGGCCGGGAGCCGGGCTCCGGGGGCGGGCCGCGCGCCTCCCGTCGGGGCCATGGACCGCCGCTGCGCTGCGCTGCGCTCCGCCGGCTGCAGGCGAAGGCCGCGCCGCCCGCGCCCCTCCCCGCCCCGCCTCGGGCCCGCCCCCTGCGCGCCCCGCGCCCCGCGCCCCGGGCCCGCCCCCGCCCTCCTCCCGCGGCGTCCCGGGCCAGCGCCTCGCGCGCGGGGTGTCTTTCCCTACATAAATCGGGGCGCAGGCGGCCGACTGACCTTCCCAGTCCGTGACGCTGCGTGGGTCCAGCCCGCGGGAGCTCACCGGCTCGAGGCACAATCGGGGACCCCCAGGGCACGGACGCCCGCCGCGCCCGCCGCCCGGCCCCGCGCGCCCGACCCCATGCCCGGCCTCGCGGCGCGCGCGGGGAAGGCGCCGCTGCAGCGCGAGCACCCGCGGAGCAGCGGCGACCTCCGCCTGCGCGCGGGAGTGGCAGTGATTCCTGCCTCGTTTTCGGCGGACTGCAGAGGGGTCTCCCCGCCTCCCCGCCCCCACCCGGGAAGCCCAGGGAGGGAGCTGCACCTCGCAGGGCGCCGCGGCTGCACGCGTTGGGAAATCAAGGCGTCGCCCGACCTCCCGCGCAATGCCCAGCGTTAAGCTGGCGGGGTAACCCCGGCCGCGGGCAGCCACCCCCTGCACCATTTGCATCAGCGGGTTCCGCTGTCTGCAGGCTGCAGGGGCTGGGGCCTTCCAAACGTGGAGGAGCAGCGAAGGGAAAGGCAGGCGGAGAGGGGACTCTGCTGTTTGGCTGAGGTATCGAGGAGGCTGCAGTATGTGGAAGTGTTCATGAGATATCTCCCGGAGAGCACGGCCGCCTGTCAGCCCAAATAGTGGCAAATTGTGTTGAAGGCCAAAGAATCAACCGAGGGAGGGGGTTGGAGCAGACCGGGTCGGTGGAGATTTGCCGCATTTTGCAGGACTGGCTGCGGGTGCAGAAGATTCGGTAGGTGGCATTCTTCCCTTGGAGTCAGAAGAGGCGGCGCAGTGATGCAGGACGTGATTCTAATACTGGGTTGTTGAAGGGGGTTTGTTTGTGTGATAAGGGGGGAGAAAATGAGGTTTCTGCTGGGTTGGGCTGTTACCAGGACAGGTTGTAGAAAAAGGCTCAGGAGGGCTCAGTTCCAAGCAGGAGGTGCTGTGTAAACACACACATACACACGCCTACACACCACCGCACCACCAAACCCCAGAGTGTGCCTGGTGCGAGTCATAGGGACAAGCGGTCCAGCCTTCAAAGCCAGGTCCACGTCACACTGTGGTTTTCCTGGGCTTTCCAATCATGCCAGCATATATGGATTTCATGCTCATGTATGCACATATATGTGTATTGCATGCACCTACACACATATGCATGCACACACAGACACAGAGTGTCTGCTCAGGGTGACTGCTGCTCGAATTATGAGCGTTTATTGTGAATTTTCCACTGCTGGGTGCTTTGTCGTTTTTCATTCTGGTTGAAATCAGAATGATTTCAATTCCAATTGTCCTTTCTCTGTTTCATTTTTTTACATTTCAATATTTATCTCTTTAATCTCTCATGTAATTTGCTTATCAATTCTCACTGTCTGGCTCTCTTCCAGAAGGCAGGAACCTGTCATTGTCCTTGTTCACCTTTGTGTCTCAAGTGTGGAAAGCAGGTAATAAACATCCATTGCTTAAATGAATGAATGAAACCCCAAATGGGCCTAAGATGGACCGGGAAGAGCCAGGCTGGTGTGGGTCATTTCACTTCAAGAGGCTCACATGTTATCAGGTGTTTCTTCAAGATAAATACTTCATGCTCCAAGTCTGCATGTATAAAAAACTCACTTTCCTGCTTCTAATTTGTAAGTGCTTTTATGTCAAAATCCATTAGCTTTGACTTGCTTAGACTCCAACCTACCCCTGGTCACTAAGGCGTTTTGAGGGGGGCAGGTCTCATTTCCTAAGGAAAATTGAGTTGGCCCAGATTAATATTATAACCAGCGTCATGTTTTGGGAACAAAGCAGGTCACATTACTGCTCCTACTTAAAACCTGCTTTGACGCCTTGTGTCTATGGAGTAACCCGCTGATGCCAGAGCATGATGTCCGAGCTGCCCTTAATCTGAACCCCTCCCCCCTACTCCTTCCTCTTCCTAGTCTCACCCCCCTTCAACTCTCACCCTGTTCTCTCACACTGAACTATTAACAGTTCCAAGAACTTGCTTTGACCTCTCACATTTTCATGACTTTGAATCTGCTATTCCTGCCTCCTCGGAAGTTTTCTTCTGTATTTTCCTACCCCTGTGCTGTACACGGATTCATCCAGTGACTGTGAAGAATAAATACCCAATAAATATTTGTTGAGGAAATCTTAAAGATTTACGTCAATAATGCCCTCAGGAAAATCTTCCTGACTTTATTTTTCTTTATTTAATTGCCTGCTCACACCAGCCCCCCACCCCACAGCCCAGCGTTAAATGCTCCTTCTGCAGGTAGTAACTAGCATTTATTGAGTGCTCACTTTATACCTGTCACTATTCTAAGGATTCTACACATTTTAATTTATTTAAATCTCCATCATAATCCTACAAGGTGGATTCCCTCATGCCTCATTTTACAGTTAGGAAAACCAAGTGTATGGAAAATGAAGTGGCTCACCCTCTTTTTTGCCCCCCACCCCACTGCTAGCCTCTGGGGCTTCCACCTGCTGGCTTGCTTTCCTCCCAGGTTTCATTGCCCGCATGTGATGATAATGTGTTCATGCAAAGAGTGCTTAGAGGTGTGAGCATGGACCACACATGCCTGTGATTATGGACACCCTGGCCAAGAAGCTGGAGAACTCAGGGTGCACATACTTGTAAGTATGGATGCCCAGGCTGGGAGACTGTGCGGAGGCTGAAGAGAGAAGAGAAGCCAGAGAGGGAGCACAAAGAGTGGGGCTGTTGGGGGGTTCCATCACTGCCAGCCTCCCTGCCACCCTCATCTGGTCTGTCTGATTCCCTGCGTCAGCAGTAAAGGCATGTCAAATCAACCTAGGGCTCCAAGATTCTCTATTTGCCCAAATCAGCCATGAACTGCATGCGCACCCTGGAACTGTTTGCCCCGAAACTAAGTCACAAAAATGTTGAATAACTTGCTCCAACAGGGGGTAAGTAGGCCAGCCAAGCTTGACCTGGGGAGTCAACTCCAGAACCAGGGTCCTCAGCCGCTGGCTGCACTGCCTCTCCTGTGTAGGCTTCTTTCTCTTTCTAGCACACTATCATACATACCATCAATGCCTGGTGTGCCAGCCAGTAAGCCCCTTGAAATGAAAGAATGTATTTTATTTTTTCTTCTCTCTGCCAGGTGCAGGGAGCGGGCTCTCAATATTTTGTTGTTTTTTTTTTTTTTCAATGACTTGTCTTAGAATAAATGAATGAGAGAGTAGATACAACCATCTTTACCCCCACTATTACGTGGGAGAGTTTAAGAAAGATGCTGTGATGGGAAAGAAACCATCCTGCGCTAATCCTGTCATTACTTGGTGAAGCCATTTCCCCTGACCTGGGAATGTTCTGTTGTAGAAAAGGGTGATGGCAGAAAAGAAAAGTGATGACAAGGCTGTGGAAGGATGGTGCTGACCATGTCTGACACAAGCAGGATGCATCCAGAATATTTTGAAACAAACCATAAAGCAAAGTACTAAGAATAGCAACACTTAACAGCTGGGAAACACCAATAACAGACCTTTAACAGGAACTAATGTAAGAATGAAACCAAAATGTTAATAATGAAAGCAAAATGTTTGCCAACCATCAGATGGAATGACAGTAAATAAATTTGACCATGGAGGGAGATGTCACTTCTTCCAAGGTGCATGTACTGTGTGCTTGGTATGTGCCAGACACAGTGCCAGGCACCTGGAGGGCAGTCCAGGCCGCAGGTGGAGTCCTTGCTAGCCCTAAGACACACATAAGCATCTTGGCCACTACAGCCCGCTATTCTAGGTTGCACACTGACTGCCTGCAGAGCGAATTCAGGCATGTTTTTCAACATGAACACTTTTTCCAAAGTGTCCCCAGTCAGGATATTTCACACAGAAACCTGGGTTTTCTTAAAAGAAAAATCAGAAAATATTGGCAATACTGAGTTCAATTTCTCCAAGGCAGCATGCATTAGGTGAAACCCAGGTGCAGCTGTGTTATGACAGTGCTCACAACAGCTGTGGTAATAGCTGAGGGCTGGGGAAGTTTGAACAAGTAAGTTGATGGAAGATGATAAACTGGTGAGAGAGAAGAATGAGTGAAGAATGAGAGAGAGAAAGAGAGAGTTGAGTTTAACTCCAAAGTAATGGAGGCTTTCAAGAGAAATGGTTAATAGTGTCTTATGTTGCAAGAGATCAAGCCCTCTCCAAGGTTACTATGAGCCATGATATAAGAGAGCTTTTGACTTAGTACAGAGATCACATGTGACACTTTCTCTTTTCTGCTTAGACTCTAGGAAGGGGTTTTCCTTACAGAACACCCTGGTTTTTTTTGTTTCGTTTTTTTGTTTTTTAAATTCAAGCCCCGGGCCTCCCCGGTGGCGCAGCGGTTGAGCTCTGGGTTGCGAAGCTCCCTGCGGCCTCTGCGGCACTGGTTCAATCCCCGGCTGCTCCCCGGCCTCCGGAGGAGGGTCCCACATGGCGCGCAGACCTCTCCTGCCGCCTGCTGCTCCCCTCAGCAGTGTACTTCGGTCCTTCTGCCTGCTCTGCTCCCCGCTCTGGTGAATTCTCTCACCCTCCCGCACGCACTTCTGACTGTACCCAGTGCATGTATAAACAAACAAACAAATAAACAAACAAACAAATAAATAAAAATACATGCCTCTTTAAAAAATAAAAAAATAAATAAAAATAAATTCAAGCCCCAAGGCTGTCACAATTATAGGTAAATGAATGTTTGTGCCAGT